GTGATTTCAAACTGCTAATCAGGAGTTAGGAAGGCCTTTACTGAGGCCGTGATACGGATAAACGCTGTGTGAACATTCGAGAGTTGCCAAATTCCCCCCGGTAAAATGTTTTTTTACAAAGAAAGTTATGAACTTTTTTCCTTAAAATTTTCTGGAGCTTTAGAAGAAATTACGAACACAATTTTCTGGAAAATTGACAGAAAGATATTCATAAATACTGTTAAATAATGTATATTCTTTTCATCTATTAATTTAATATATTTAAGTGCTGCTTCGTATGTACAGCACTGAAATATTACTAATCATATTCCTTTATGTATATATTATTCTACCTCTCCATTTCTATTTGCTAGAGTTAGTTCAACAGTTTTTGGAAGTTTTATAGGATTAAATAATGGTGTTATTAAAAAAATGATAGATTTTAGTTCCATGATTACCATCTGCTGATTTATTTATAGGATAAGGATTACGTTAAATTTGTTTCTTCTTTATTTTATAAGTTACCCCATCTCAGGGTAAAAAGCAAAAATCAAAATAAAATATCTTTTTTGTTGCAATTTTGTCGTCGATTTATTTCCGTTTTATGCACCGAGAAATTAGTCACGGACTAAATAGGATACTGTCAGTGGCGTGGCGTGCATTGCGATAAATCGCTCGTTATGTCATTTAAACCTATGGTAAAGAATAGATTATTTAGGTGTCCGCTGCGAACACCCTGTTTATCGATTCTTTCCCATAAGTTTAAATGACATAACAATCGATACATCGCAATTCACGCCACGCTTTGGATACTGTCTGTTCCGGGCTGAGAGGCCGAGAGTTCCGGTCGCTGGAATCGTAGCTTCGGTTGCTGAACCCGGAGCAACACAAGCACACCCGGAACTTTCAGAATCTGAGGGCGGATAGGACGGTATATACACCTTGCGAGACCCTGAGTTTTTTAATGAGATAAAGTCAATCAGAATTTGACTAAATGTATAATTAGGGTTGTTCAAAGGAGTAATACATCTAATTAAGAAATCAGATTATCGGACCGAACACCTTAATGGAGATGTTGCATGTATGAGGAATTTGCGATTTGACTATTTATTCTTAGGTAAAAGTTCGCGAGAAACACGATGATGCCACTGGTTTTCTCTGAAATCAACTCCCAAGCTCAAAAAAAGCTCTCAAAATGAGGCCAAAATGGAGGGGGTATCCCACGCTATCCTGAGAGTCCACCTCTACATCAAAACAAACTCTCCATGCAAAGATAGGGAGCAAGTACATTAGCAGTGATGCCGTGTTTTCAATTTTTGAGTCCCCAAATAAAGTGGCAGCCCTGTAAATGTAAAGCTCTCTATCTTTGCATGGAGAGTTCGTCTTGATGTAGAGGTGGACTCTCAGGATAGCGTAGGATACCCCCTCCATTTTGGCCTCAACTTAAGAGCTTTTTTTTGAGCTTGGAAGTTAATTTCAGAGGAAACCAGTGGCACCATCGTGTTTCTCGCGAACTTTTACATAAGAATCAACAGTCAAATCGCAAATTCCTCACACATGCAACATCTCCATTTATTATTCTTTACCATAACTTCAAATGGTAAAATATCGATAATCGATCATTCACGCCTCGCCACTGGATATCTGCTGGTATTAGGAGCTCAAGACGGATCGAAAATTGGAGAGTTGGAGACTCATGTCTTAAATACTTTTCGTTGTCCGAATAATTGAAATTGGAATAGATAACTTGACGAGGAAAATTTAGCCCATGGTTCCCTTGTCAATTTTCTTCAATTTTCGACAGGAAAAACAGCTTCGAGATTAATGTCCAATCCCTCGTAGTTCGAAGCGCTGAATCTCCTGCGTACGGTCCCGAGGCTCCTCATGATTTTCTGAGCCAAAAAACGCTCAGAACTAGTGTTTTTCATCCTCTCTACACGGAGAAAAAAACCTCGTGCGTGGGACCCGAAGTTTAGGTCGTATGGATCTCTGAAGTTTTCGGATTGAGTATCTGAACACTTTAGGTCTAGCTGTCGAGGTACGGATCACACATCTGAAGTACTTCAGATGTGAGAACCGAAGTTTTTCGGATGTGAAAACGGAAGTACTTCAGATGTAAGGACTGAAGTTTCAGATGTGTGATCCAAACCTCAGCAGCTGGACCTAAAGTGTTCAGATGCTCAATTCGAAAACTTCAGAGATCCATGTGACCTAAACTGCGGGTCCCACGCTCAAAGTTTTTTTTTCTCCGTGTGAAGTTGATCAAATGCGCGTTTTTCGCCGATAGCGCAATCCAGTGGACTCGTGGAGCTTTTCCGACCGCAGATTCAGACTTCTCGGGTCATTTCCAAGGGAAGTTGTTAGGATTTAGTCCGATCGGAGAAATTTCGATTTTGACCCCTAAAGTTTAGTCCGTGGTACCCCATGCAAAAAATTGGGAGAATTCCAAGTTAACGAAACCCCTTTATGTTACACTGGAAAAAAAACACATTGGATCCAGAGTCTAGAATCTTAAAAACATCGACAAGTAAAAATCCTCTTGATTCAATCGGATTTTTGCTTAAATCAAGAACCAAGCCTCTTAATTTGAGTGGATTTCCTTTTGATTTAAGCAAACATCTGGTTGAATCAAGAGTATTTTTTCTTGTCAATGTTTTCAAGAGTCTGGACTCTAGATCCAATGTGTTTTTTTTTCCGGGGTACAAGTGCTGGAAATAACGAACTATTACACGGTATGATATTTTCAGCTCTGTGCATCTCCTAGTCGGGAATATTATAATGCATATTCGCCTGCTCGCTGAAAATTGATGGAGACAGCGATAGCAAACGCACCAAGCCAAATTTTGTCATTACTTTGCTTGACGTCATGGTGATTTATATATTCTGACAGTTGCATCACTAAGCATCACTCGAAAATATTGTTGTAAAGTTTTCACGAAAATGTTTAGAATAGAAAAGCCTTTTGACATTATAGGTTTATAAGCTTGAATGTCACTTTTTCCGACCTCGGAAGAATTTTCGCAACAACATGCAAGCAAGTTTTAGTTTCTCATTAAAAAATGAAGCATAAAAAAAAGTTCATATTAACTAACAACGAACGTCTGTGCACATGACTGAATGCCAGGAAGTCAGGGTCCCCCTCCATTCTTCTTTGACGATCTGATTTTTTATTTTTGATTATTATCAATAGAGGTACACAGAGTTCTTGGAGTTATTAAATTTTTAGAGCCCTCCACTACCATTTACCAAAAAAAAGAAAAATATATGATCACTTCACAAGCGGCAATTGTGTTCTGATAGCTGAGTTTAGTCCATGTGCCGATCAAAGAAAAATCACCGAAGTAATCTAAATGTTGAGTTACCCTACTTAACCTAACCCGACCAGATGTAACCGACAGACCCCCGCGGATCTGTGGGCTGATTTTTGAAATTTATATACAAAGCGGTAGACAAACAAGGCTGGAGGAAATAGAGCGATTTTATTGGTTGAAACGAGCAGTTGATATAGACTAAAGGGGGAAATGATAAACTAACCGTATTGTCGGTTGGCGTTCCTTTACTCACCTACTACATTGCTACCACTAGCTTTCACCGACAGGATTGCTCCAGCTTCCTTTTGTATTCTTTGTCTATAGCTTTGTCTATCAATGTCAATAATCAGCCCGCTGTGGACGTGACCCTACGGTTGGACGCGGCCGACTCGCATTGGAGTGGCTAGTCCACATGATTTAATGTCCAACCATGAATATGTCCGAAATTGCCCAAATTGTGGACATGTTATGTCCACATTTTTTTCTTCTCATTCAAAAGACAGGAACCACCTCAAAAATAAATGCATACTACTACTAGTTAGTTAGTTAGTTAGTATATTTTAAGACGTTCAACGTCACAGGCTATTAACGTCTTTACAGAAAATTTTGAAAATGGGAGTATGTACGGAAATTTAGATTTTTAAATTAAGAGAGGTGAAGAGTTCCTTCATTCTTAAAAGCATTTCATTCATGAATCAAGTCATGAAAGAGAACAGACTCTGAGAGCAGATAAAAACATATGTGCATGTGTACACTGTACGGATATGATAAGATGAAAACCAAAGCGGGAGCTTAGGAAACGCTCCAATGTCAAATTAAACATTTTTCAGTAACAGATGCAGTCAAAATTGAAAGTCCTCTTTAACTAGTTATTTCGTGCGCCTTCAATCTTGTAGGATACTGAGCAACGCCTCTGACGCGAAATAGTTGCTGAAAGCGTTGCGGCGCGGCAGGCAACCAGCGTGACACGCGCATAGGCGCCTACAAACCTAACGGGATACTTCACGCGTTGCGCAGTACGTGAAGTATCCCGTTAGGTTTGAAGGCGTCAGTGCGCGTTCTGCGCTGCTAACACGCCGCTCCGCACTGTGTTAGGCTCTAATATTTAAACTCGCGGATTCAGCATTTTTCAACTCATGATTTTGAAATGTTTGCACTCTCTGCATTGATTATTCCCTTTTAAACTGACGAAAAAGAAATATGTACTACTGGAAAATATAATGTGTTTTTTGTAAATATGATAGTGGTTCCGTGTCAAATTTAACCACATTTTGCCACATTAGCTACTGCCAAATTTAATTGGACAATTTACTTTTTTACAAGAGCACGTTTATGCGCATTCCTTTGAAAATTTTGAAGAATTTCATTCGATGTATGTAAAAAAATTACTGAAATTTGCACAAAAATCCACACGAGCGTTCTCATGTAAAAAATTAAATTGCCTAATTGAATTTGGCAATACCTGATGTGACTTGGTTCCTTCCTGCTAAGCGCGGTCCAATTGTGCATGAGTCTCTTGAATTTTTACCTTAAGTCTATTTAACGTTCTTGCAATTTCGGTTTTCCGTTCATACCTCACATTCACGACCCGGGATTGGAAAATTTTGCCACACTGTACACGGGAGTTAAAAAGCCGCTCGCAAATACAGCACACTGCTTCAAGTGGGAAAAAGTGAGGTGCTTGTGTTAGCGCAGTTGAACCGTCTCTCGAGAAGTGAGCCGTGCTTTGCGAATCACAGTTTACTCGTGAAATAATACGGCGGGCATGAAACGTCCTTATCTATACTTCGTGTACTTTGTTTTAGCCTGCCGGGAGTAATCATTCGCTCACTTTTCAGCCATGGGAGGAACAATTCATATTTTGCATGCTAATCTGGGAAGAGTGAAAAAACAGAGGAAATATGTTGCTTAGTAGTTTCCCGAGCGAGGTCAAGAATATCTTTGCCATCTCAGGCGCAAGTGTGAAAGTGATTCATTTTCTCATCATGCAGGATACAGGGTGTTTCATGAAATGAGAAATCAAAGACTGCTTTAACCAGTGAAATACTTAAAAACCGATTTACTCAGGAATTTTCGCCAAATCCACTCCAAGCGGTTTCATCCCGTCAAGAGAACTTTCCACGGGTTTCTGAGTGCGCATCGTTGGAGACATTTATATAACCACCCACGGGGCCATTTATAAAATGAAACATTCTGGGACGAAAACTGGTTAGTATCTTTTCGAAAAAGTGTAATATACCAATACATGATGCTCGATACGTCACGTAAATCGTCACCTTCTGGCCGAAGTATCACAAGCGACATTTCAAAATTTTCGCCGCCATTTTATTTGTTCACAGAGAACAAAGCTCAAACAAAAGCTGTCCGAAAATTTCACTGCATCTTCTTTGTGCTGCCGATAAAATTGGTTTGGAGCCCTTTCACCCAAACCTTTTCCCCCAAAAGTCAAAAGATCCAAAGCCAGTTTCCCCATTGCCCCTTCATCCAAATTCACCGAGAAAATTTTTCCCAAAGAATTTTCACCCAGCATTTTCATCCAAATTTCACGCATGAATGAAAATCCGTATTTATTAGATTATTTGAATTATTAGGCAATTTAGGTGACTCACGATGATTAGGCAATGTTGTGGCCTATTGCTCTCAAGTAATCCAGCTCTATACGTTCTGTTTTGTGCTCTTTATAACGGGAGACAATCGTCACAAGCGAGTCAACCATCAGCGATAAAATTCAGCGCAATTTTCAAACAAATTCAATCAACAATTCCTCTTTAAAAAATAAAATGTCGGCGGAAATCGTTGATCGCCGCATGGTGTGTGTGATACTTTGGGCGGAAGGTGACAAAATGTGAGAGCGAGAGAAATAATTGAACCGAGTATATTAGGAGGGAACAAACCCACATTTTCGAAAAAATCGAGTTAAGAATATTTTTGATTTTCACTAGCCGTATATTTTCTCCTCCTAAAAACTGAAAGTCGAAAAAAAGAAATTAGTTTGTGAAAAGATGAGATTAAGTTTATTTTCTATTGAGCCTTATGCAGGAATACAACTTCAAACCTCTTTTTCTCAGTTTCAACTTAATGTGGTTTGGTTCTTTTCTGAAGCACTCAGTCCAACTTGCAATTTTGCGCGCAAGCCAGGATGAAATCGTATCATCGTTTTGATAAATGTGTTGGTGGAATTCTTCATTGATGCGAATCATCATTCGCCGTAGGAGTTGGTATTGAGGTAGACTTGGAGACCTTGCTGCTTTATCAAGTCGCTTCCTTTTTGAGTCATTACTTCGGATAAATATACATCAAATGAATCCTCGCCGTGACAGAAAATCAAAACTTGTTAGTTGTAAGCCTCCCATGGTAGGCAAACGCTGTAGGACTATTTTAGTGAAAATCAGATGCATCATTATAAGAGTCAAACAGAATTGGTTAGCATTTGCTCCAGTTTGGAAAATAATTGTTTTTTTCCGGTTAAACTTTCTAAGTCATACGTTGTGAAGTATCGTGTTTTAAAGAATTTAAGTAAATTATTAGTGCATAACTTCCAAGTTCCTAGAGATCTCAAATATACTATAATTGAAAATCACACAACATATATCAAGGAATCTAAAATATCATCCAAGAATCAAATAATCAGGTAAGATCCTCTTTCGTGATTTATTCAGATTAAACTCTGCGACGAGGTGTTTCGAGCGATTCTATCAAAGCCTTACTGCCTTCTAAACTCTGATGTAAACCAGTGTTTCAAGTTTTTACATACTAAAAATTAATTTTGAACTCGCTGATAAAATTTGTTACGAATTCAAGATTAAAATTAATTTGGATATCCTATCCAACGGAGACTAAAATGTATAATTGTGAGGAACAATCAAGCTGTTTTTTTTTCGCAACCTTGCAATCCAGAAAATGATTTTACTTTGATTTCATGATTCAAATGCAGGAGATGAGATAGTCCCTTTTGGACCTCCAGAATGGAGCTCTTGCATGTATCAGGAATTTGTGATTTAAATACTGATTCCTATGTAAAATTTCGCGAAAAACCGATGGTGCCACTAGTTTCCTCAGAAATCAACTGCAAAGCTTAAAAAAAAACTCTCAAAGTCGAAGCGGTAATGGAAGAGATATCCCAGGATGCTCAGAGAGTCCACCTCTGTATCAAGTCAAACTCTCTATGGAAAGATAGAAAGCAAATACATCAACAGGGTTGCCGTGTCTTCAGTATTGGATTCCTCGAACAAAGTGGCAACCTTGTTCTATCTTAATATAGAGAGTGTCTTGATACAGAAGTGGACGCTCAGGGTAGCGTGGGATATCCCCTCTATTACGGCCTCAACTTTGAGAGCTTTTTTTGAGCTTTAGAGTTGATTTCAGAGGAAACTAGTGGCATCATCGAGTTTTTCGCGAAATTTTTCGTAGGAATCAGTATACTTATATCGCAAATTTCTGACCCATGCAACAGCTCCATTACCCCTCAAATTTTCAACGTTATATTTGGGACACACTGTATGTATAGGTATTCTGAGGAGCTATATTCCTGTTGGTAATAAATTGGTGTCGTAGAGGTCGCTCAATGTGCTCCAGGTTTCTCATGGTCTTGATTATCTCAAAATCAGGTTCTAATCGGACAATCGGTCGATCAGCCACGGATATCTTTCATCTGCTACTGATTTCAGTCTTGACTGCCACTTTCGTCGCGTCGTCGTCGGCGTGGCACTATTATCATAAAGTGTAGCTCCGCAAAGTTCAAATACATGTGTGAGCGTAATAATCTGAATGTACTTTTTTACATGAATCTAGCAGGTAAGAAAAAACTCTACAATAACCTCTTTTGAAGCAACAAGTATTGAATACCCACACTCGTCAAGACCTGAGATAAACCCTAATTTACTTTCGGTTAGTTCGTCGGGTAATTTATTCCACTCCCCTCAATTTTTCACACATGAGATTTCAAATTTTTTAATCTAATGAAAATTTTTGGAATTTTTTTGGTCTTGATCTTGTTACTTGCAGTTTGGGCCACGTTTTAGTGTTTCTTCTCTCTTTTAAGCGCTCAGCCGATAGGCAGCGTTTTTCGATTTCGACTTGCCTCTAGAATACTAGTATACTAGTGCTAATTCGTTTAAATGGTGCACCAGCTCATCGATGTGTAGTCTTTTTGGGGGGGGGGTTTTTGGGGGGGGGGGTCCAGTTTTAAAATAAATAAAGCTGTGATAACCGTATTTTATGCTTTTAACGTAATGCGCGGGTAGTTACGATCGTTTGTCTATAAGAAATTTCCTTAGCGGTAGAGTAATTCTTATCGAAATTGATCGTTGAAAATAAAAGAAGCCTAAGAAAAACGCGCCTGATGAGCTCAACGGTGGCTATCATTTTCGGGAAAGGAAAAAACGCGTTCACGGTTTCCTTGGTAATCTTTGTTTGCCATCAGCTGATGTTTTATTTCCATTTCCCAGCCAAGTCGACGGAGTTTATACTTCCTTTCTTCACTAAATACATTTACTAACACCTGAGCGCTTTTGTAATACGACAGTATTAGAACTTTCCCGCTTGTTTTGTCGTTAATTTCGCCGTTTTCCTCACAAAAGGTCGTAATTACATTTCAATGTTGCCAAATTGCCCCTCGTAAATTGCCTATTAACTAGGAGAATCTCGGGCATTTCCAACTGAAAATTCTACTGATTTTTCCTCAGATATCATGAATTAATCAGGAGGTCGCGTGGGGATTCGGCCGGTCGGATTTTTCGTGGGGATTCGGCCGGTTTCCGACTTATTAACCAGAGTGTGGAAAGTTTGGCAACAATGTACTAATGCGAAGCAGAGGAATACTCTTATCATGTTGGTGACATCTCGAGATTGAAATCATGCTTATCGGGGTCGTGAACTGACAGTCGGACGGATCAAATTTTTTAATTTGTGACGACGGTCAAACAGACCGAATTTTAGTGTTTGGATGGACAAAATTAATCCAAGAAGTACTATCTGTTAAACAAGACTTTTTTATTGACGGGACATTATTTTATGCATTTCCAAAACAATTTGCTCAACTGTATACAATTCATGCAAAGTACAGAAGCACCCACCATTCTGTTTGCTGCATTCCTATTTTTTACGCTTTACTTCCGAACAAGCAGAAACGTACTTATCAACGCTCATTTCATTTGTTAAACGAAAAATTTCCAACGTGGAAGCCAGAAAGTTTCTATTTAGATTTTGAGATTGCTGTCATATCCATTTTGTCAAATTTATATCCTGACGCAAAATTGCACGGGTGTAACTTTCATTTTAACCAGTCAATTTGGAGGAAAGTTCAGGAATTGGGTCTCAGCGTTGAGTATAAAGTAAGCACACTACGTTAAATAGCTCATTTCTTGTATACCACTTTTTATTCATGTTTGTTCTGTGCATTGTTGCCAAACTTTCCATACTCTGAATAATAAATCAAAAACCGGCCGAATCCCCACGAAAAATCCGACCGGCCGAATCCCCACCTAATCAATCAGGAAGGCCTTGGATAAAAATTGCACGCGTGCATTTTTGTAAGATACATCAATGGTATGAGTCAATTTGGCAACCTTGGAACAGAGTTGCGTTCCTTCGTCTGCGGGACGACGATTTATTTACGTATTATTTTTGTAAATTTATACCTATTCAGGCATAAAAAGTATATAATATAGCATAAAATAATATGTTAACGAAAAATAATGGATGTTATTAATATTATGTATGATGAGAACTGACAGCAAATGCTAGTTCCAGTACTTGTTACTGTAAATTTATATGCCGAGGACTTGACTTTGAGGGTAACGCTGAACCAATACGGATTTTGGATCAGACATATTTGGATTGAATTTTGCAAAAAGGAAGCAAGAGCATTTCAATGTCGCTAAGCTTGTGCAACTGTGCAACTGATCATCTACAGAAGATCCATCTTTACTCTCAATAAACTATACATATAGGACGAAAATTACCTTTGTAAAATGTTTTGCATGATTTCAGTGATTGTGTTGCAAAGAATGTAAGTTGAACAATCCTAGCAACATTGGAATGCTTTTGGTTCCTTTTTGCAAAATGCAATCCATTTTTGTCCCAAGGGTTGTGGCTCGACAGAGAGCAGTGGAGGATAGGTGTCGTAGAGCGCGAGGGAGTGTCATAAAGCGACCTACATGTATGTGCATATTTTTGAAGTACAAAATGCTATGACAGCGGATTTTTTTCGGGTCGGTCAAAATAATTTCAGTAACGCTGAGACTGGCGCTGACGATTGCACGCAGATAAAGCAACTCGTCAAACTGAATTTACTGAGACTTTAAGCGGGTGTGGTTGTGTGCGTAGGGGGGGGGGATTTCAGCTCGAAGGGTATTTCGAGCTATCAGGCTTTTTGTTTTACACAAACTCAACGTAGAAATCTGAAACCATTCTCAGGGAAGGTGCAAATGCTGATGCTTCGCACTGTTTAAATAAAATTTTACCGTAAGAAAATAGAAGCTTTCTCATCGGTAGAATTTTAAGCCGTTACGCCTCCTGATGGCAGCGCGGTTCCTCCGATAGGTACGTAAAAGTGCCAAGTAGGGTGTCCTTGGTATGGTTTTTTGGGACGTAGATTTCACCTATGAAGTCTTAGTTACTACAGGTCCATTGAAGCTCTAAAAAATTAACGGCTGCCGTTGCGAAGTGATATAAGTTATCAAGGCTCGTATCTTCGGGTCAGTGGGTGGTAGATTCCAGAAATGAGCTCCAAATATAATTAAAGGCCCAACGAAGTTCTCTAAAAACCGAAATTGTGGCCAACATGGCTGCCGCCTAGGTTGTGAGAACGTTAGAAAAATTACCTGTTATACGATAGTGTATATTTGGGTATGATTCGTGCTCAGCTGGTTCCGGATGCAGTCCAAAATATCTGGAAGATAACTAAAGCGTCAAACGCATATGCATACTGCGTAATTTACAACGTTCATAAAATTTTGAAACTCATACTCCTTTTTAAAGAAAATTCACTGCTCTTACTCAGGAAGTTCAGCAACTATAAACACATCTTTGTATCCATTTTAGCAATGCTGAACGTGTCCCGTTAGGGGGCGGTAATGTAACATGGCGGTTCTTAAGAAGGAATGAAAAACTGACAATAAGTTGAATGTGGGAGAGCAAAAAAACGATAAGAGAACGAATTAATGGGCCAAAAGATTAGAATTGTACACTGGAGAAAAACACATTGAATCTAGAGCAAAGACTCTTAATAACATCGGCAAGAAAAAATACTCTTGATTCAGTCGGATTTTTGCTTAAATCAAGATCCAAGCATTTCAATTTGAGCGGATTTCCTTTTGATTTAAGCGTAAATCTGATTAAATCAAAAGTATTTTTTCCTGTCGATGTTTTCAAGAATCTGGACTCTAGATCCAATGTGTTTTTTTCCAGTGTATTAGATATTAGAATTACACGAGAGTTACAAAATGAAAGCACACACATAGATGCCGGAGGGGCGAGAATGGCATACGCGCCGGACACGGGTCATGGTGTTAGAACCTCGAAAAATATGCAGCCCACGCCTTTATAGATTCGTTGACGTCACCGGTGGTGAGACAAAAAAGCTACGCGTGATTGGCTGGCTGTAATCAGTGGAGGTATCAGTTGAAAGTCTGGTCAGTAGATTTATGGGTGATAGCTGGATGATAATGTTGAAAACCGAAGATTGAATCGAAAAATGAACGAATCCAGCCATCACTAATGACTAGAGGAAAATTATAAGAGACAAAATGAAACAAAAGTCACGGGACTTGCAGGGCCCTTGATAGAATGTCTCTTGACATTTTTATACCCTGGATATTTCAAGTTGAATCTTCGCATACTCCTTTTGCAAAATTGAAAGAAAGAGGATAAGGGTTGAGTCAGGGAATTTTTTTTGTTTTGACAACTACCGCTGAAAATTCCAAGCCGGCACTATTCTCTTCGGGGGATTCATAAGGCCGATAAATACAAGCTTAAGATAGGTCTACAAATACATTCCAAAACAGAATCAGACATCGAATTGAAAAAAAATAAATAAATTAATAGGTGGCAACACAGCCGAAGATCAGAGAGACGTAATCCGGCCTCGGTTTTTCATTTTTCTCCCGAATCGATTGGGTAGTATACAGTGGCAGTTGCGAGTTTACGCCTTGCGACATCGCCCCTTCAATTTTGCAGATGCAACACGGACATCCATTAAGCACGAATAGTTGTATCTTTGCGCCGTCATCAACGCGCGTGCTTTCCCTTGCTTTATTACCATGTTGTGTTGACTTCGTTTGTCTTATTTATATCGGTGCTTCAAGGGATACAATAGCAGCACAGCTGTGGAGATAGGAAAGACGTAATCAGACCTCGTTTTTTCAAAATTTTCTCCCGAATCTGAGCGACGCAACACCTCATTGGCAGCACAGAGCGGAGCAGCGAATTCACGCCTTGCGCGCCTTCAATTTTTTCGATTCAACGCGGAAATTTATCAAGCTCGAACAGTATTGTATCTCTGCGCGGTCATGAACGCGCTTTGAGGTGTGCCTCGCGTCATCGCGCCTTCAATTTTGTAGATGCAACCCGGACATTCATCAAGTTCAAACAGTTGTATCTCTGCGCCGTCATCAACAAGAGATGTACTTTGAGATGTATCCTATTTTTGAAATTTGAGAAAAGCCAAGGTTAAGTTTGCCTAAAATTTGGTTTGACATGTTTAGATCGATGATCAGTTTTGGAGAGAAAAACGACTTATTAATTAAATTCGAAGACTTAGCGGTAGAATTGTTTTTCGTGTAGTGCCTATTCATATAAATGGACTACATTTTGCAATTTGGAACTGCAATTCCTGGCTCAATTTAGAAACAACGAATGTACCATTAGTTTTCCTGCGCACATGAGTGTTTTCACGGATGAGCTAGAGATTATAGTTGCTCATTGTAAAATGTAATCCAAATGAGTCCAAAGAGAAGGGTTTTAGGACATTTCGTCATCGATTTTCAGTCCGCGAACCTGTATTTTCCAGTAATTTACGTCCACGCGTTTTTTCGGCACGGGAGTTTTGGTCCACGTGCCAGTTGAGACTCAAAGTTAACACACACATGTAAATACAAACGACAATTGCTCACGACGTTTTTGGATGAAAATGCATAATGTCGTGGAAGAATGAGGGTTTCCTTGTTTTTTTGATTTGGCTGTTTGGTCCAACGGAGAATAATATATAGTTGAGTGTTTTGGTAAACATGGGGGAGCGTCAATTCCATGCGACAAAATTCACTAAAACTCTCTACACCTCTTTGGTGTAACAGGACTTAATTATCTTTCAAGAAATTCCCACCTTGTTATACCTGAACCGGATAAACCTCTTGATCTGCCTCAGCTAAAGGCTCTCAGATTTTTCCTGTGTACGATAAGTAACTTGATTTACTTTGCGAGAAAAGATCTGTACTTTTAAAGGATGCCTGTCATTTTTAATACGTTCAATTTCGTATAATACTGTGCAACACCTCTGTTATGAAATAGTTGCTTCAGGCACGGCGGGTGGGCGGCCAGCACGGAACGCGCATTGGCGCCTACAAACCTAAGCGGATACTTCAAGCATTGAGCGATGCGTGAAGTATCCACTTAGGTTTGTAGGCGCCAGTGAGCCTCTCGCGCTGGCAGCACGCCGCGCCGCTCCGCTCTGTTAGGCTTTAATATGTATACTCGCATAGTCAGCGTTTTTTAACTCAGGATTTTGACATGTTTGCACACTCTGCATTGATTATTCTCATTTAAATTGATGGAAAAAAATATGTATCAATTTATCAAAAGAAAATAATAATATAATGTGTGTTTTTTAAATATTGGTGGTTCCGTTTCAAATTTAATGATTTCCAAAGCACTTTAATTTTTTCTTTCACATTTTGTGCTTTTACTGTGCTGCAGCGAGGTGTACGCGCAACCAAACGAGTATGTAGCATCGCGTCCAAGATATTGGACTCCATGCTAACCCTTGATGTACTTGCCTGCTCATCTCGTCCAAGATCTTGGACTCGATGCTCATCACTAAACTTCTCACTTCTTTGCTTGAGCATGGAGTCCAAAAGCAAGTAGACCTCCCTTAGTTTTAAAGTTCATCATGATAGAAAATCGTATACTTCGCTTATCTAATCTAACTTGAACTAACTTAACCTAACCTACCCTGACCTAACCTTCCCTAAGCAATGTACAATTTTTTTCAAGAACACATTTTTTCATCTATGTTTCACAAAAATTGTCTTATTAAATTTTTGGACCCCATGCTCGTGTATTGTCAGAGAATACCTGCGTCCCACAATTTTGGACGCTACGCTCACTTAGATTTTTCGAAAAAATTATCCCTAATTAAAGTGAGCATGGAGTCCAAGATCTTGGACGTCATGAGCAACCGAACATTATATAGCTGAGCATGGAGTCCAGTATCATGGACGCGATGCTACATTACCAACCAAACGCTCAAAATTTGACGTATTTGACTCTTAAAGATCGATGTACAAATGGGTTAAAACTAAAGATTGCGTGCTTCTTGGTTTTTCCCCTCTTTTATTCATTTTTGCAGTTTCTGTCGGCACAACTACGGCTCGTTGAGATTAATGTCGCTTGGAAAAGGTTTTACAAATATTTGCCACGTTTTAAAAATATAAATGTTTTCAAAATGAAGTAATAATTCCGTAAAGAAAAAATTAAAAAAATAAAAAGAAGTAAGTACCTACACATATATAGGGTATATTATACATCGAATATTTTAAGGATGGAAATAAAACCAAATATTCACCAATGACAATTTAAAAAGATGATTCAAAAGGAGAAAGTAATAACATTTCATTTGCCATGACAACACCTCTTTCTCTCTCAATTTCTCATTTCCATATTTTCAATATGAATATCCGCATACCGACTAAAATATAACGCTTGGACCAAGTCACCGTTGCTTATTCTACGTGTGGGCGTAAACTGCTGGACAAAAAAGGTGCGCGGACAAAAATTCGTTGACACAATATCCTGAAACCAAGAAAAGCCCGAAATCAGTGGCGCGGCGTGCTTTGCGTGCTTGCGATACATCGATTGCTCTGCCATTTAAACCCATGGGAAAGGATCGATAAACAGGGTGTTCGCTACGAACACCTTAAAAATCGATTCTTTACTATACCATCGAATGGGGAAATATCGATGATCGGTCATTCACGCCTCGCCACTGCTCGAAATAAATTATGAATGCAATAAACGCAATTTTGAATCTAGCTGACTGAAGACGGTCTGTAGTGCATTACTCATTTATTTTTCTAAAATTGCAGAGGCATCAAGAGGAAAACCGTTGCTGCTGCAGCAGACCGCACTTGTCTCCACCCCGACGATTTTCATTTCCAGTATCTCAGATGGTATCTGCCTCATGGAACACATTTTTAGCCCTGGAACTTTGTGAGCACGAAAAACTTCACCTTCACTTATTTAGTGGATCTAAAACCAAATGTGATTTTTTGATGCATTGAACGACACTTTAAATTCCAGTGTCATTTAAAATGTTCCTAAAAGCTTGATCCCATCCGAAAAACATTCAGGAATCTCATCCTTGATTTAATTATTAATTTTATGATTGCGACCTTTCCGCATTTGCAACAGAAGCCTTACTCTTAGCTTATAGCCCATAATTGTATGGCAACCAATTTAATGCTTTTCATGTTAGTTATTAAGTTTTGACTTTTAGGTAGTTAAAAGGATCACTAAAATAACCATTATATTGTAACCGAATTTCACATTTTATAATTTTTACTTTTAACGACAGCTTTCAATTATAGGCTGATTTGGAAAATCCCTATGCAATTAATCTGATCCGACGGCTGACTGCCGAACGTCATGTTAAACTTCATTCGACCTCATCACAGCTCTTGCTTTATCTCATAGTCCGCTTAATCCATAATTATATTACAACCAATTGCATGCTATTCACGTTTAATAATAAGTTTTCACTTTTAGGCACTTCAAAGGATCTCACTAAAAGAACCATCATATCACTACCGAATTTCATAGCATTTACTTTTAATGACACTTTGAATTGTTGGTCGAAGAGAAAAATTACTATAAAAACTAATCTGATCCGACGGCTGATCGCCGAATTTCATGTTCAACTTGATTCAATTCCACCACAGTATCTCAGAACTTTCACTAAAAATGACACCGAATAACGTTTTAATTGTTTTAACCCTCGTGATAATAAGAAATTTACAGCACATTCATGCACGAACATTGTACACATGGTCTCAAGTCGTCCCGCAGAATCAACTCAGTGTACGCGCAATAACGGACAACAACGCTTGTCCTATCGCTCGTGTTGACAACAAACAAGTCGAGATGAAAATCCGGAGTTCGATGAACAACACAGAAACAGTCTGCGAATTGATAGTCGACAGACTCGCTCGCCACATCACCGTCGACGACAAGAAGATCGCCACCCTCCCCAAAAACATCCGGAAAATCGCCATCATCGGCGACACGGGGTGCAGAATCAAAGGGGATGAACAGCAGGCCTGCAACTCCGCGGAGGGCTGGCCTTTGCGCAAGAACTTGGAAGCAATCGCCCTTCACAAACCGGAACTAATTGTACACGTTGGCGACTATCTCTACAGACAAACCAAATGTGTAGAGACGACAAGTTGCGGCAGCTTCTTCGGGTACAACCCAGAGACCTGGTACGCCGATTGGTTCGACCCGGCGAGAGATATCTCACTGCGAGCGCCGTTCATTTTCATTCGGGGGAACCACGAGGCGTGTGGGAGGGGCCACGAAGGGTGGTTCAGGTACCTGGACCCTTTCCCCTTCGCCCCTGAAAATTGCAAACCTTTGGACTTCAGCTGGGCCTTCGATGTTGGTCCGGTGAAGTTTTTCATCTTCGATACGTCATCCCCAGAGGAGATCTTCGAGCGCCAGAGGAAGATCGACGCTTTCAACAAGTTCAACAGCCTGATCTGCGATAAACCAACGTGGTTTTTGACCCATAGGCCGCTTTGGTGCACGACGACGCGGGAACCAGAAGTGGTTGCCCTGAAAAGTCAGGGAAATCTCACGGATATCGAGGAGTTCCAGGATGAGTTCCCGAAGAACGTCAGTGCGATACTCTCGGGTCATTTTCATATCGCGCAGATTTTGTTGATGGATGATTTCCCCGACCAGATCATCGTTGGCAACGGTGGAGCGCTCCTGTACGCGCAGGATCAGAAGCCTATCTACAAGAATGTGGATTTTCACTACCCGAATGGTAAGAACTACTCCGCGCACGATATCAGGAACTTTTTCGGGTTCGGTTTCGCGATGGCGAGGTTGGACTCGCGTACGTTGACTTTCTTCAATTCGGATAACAAGAGGCTGTACTCTGCGGGGCTCACCGATGACTTCAAACCGCGATTAAAATGAAATATTGATAATTGGATATTGAGATGTGTATATTAATAGTGAGCTGTTAGGGTAAACCGAAATGAAATAAGTAAATTCAAAACCTGATAAGCAGTAGCGAAGCGTGAATGATCGATTATCCATATCTCATCATTTTAGGCTGTGGTAAAGAATCGATTATTGAGGTGATTCGATGGATGCTAAATAGCCCTCTTCCCACTCGTCAAAATGGAAGCTCAAAAAGAATCGATAAATACGATCTGTTCACGATTGTTGATCAAAAAAAAGTTGCGCCGCTCTATTTTGAGTTTCAACACTCATCAATTGCATCAAGTCCCGACTTTGAGCCACTTATCGTTGAAATCGATTCACTTTGAGCTTCCATTTTGACGAGTGGAGGCAGTGCTTTTGTGTCAGAATGACATGCGCAACATATCGCATCGATTAGTTCCATTTTTTCAGCTACCCGTAATTTTCTCGAATTTTGAGATCGTAATTCTGTTATCAAGAGACGAAAGAATTCACTTACGAATTTTGAAAACCAAATTCAACGTAATGTAGGCGTGGTTTTTTCAGAGAGAAAATATCGAAATCGGGTGCAGTTTTGATATCAGTATCGCATGCGATATTTTTCCTGTAAAAAAACTATGCCTTTTCTACGGTGAATTTGTCTGTCAAAATTGGTGAGTGAATTCTTCAGTCTCCTCACAACGGAATTCCGATCTCAAAATTCGAGAGAAATGACGAGTAGCTAAAAAATGGAACCGATCGTCGCGATACACCACACGTCGTTCTGACATAAAATCCTGTTTATCGATCCTTTTTCATAAGTTTAAATGGCAGACTAATCGATGTATCGCAAAGCACACCACGCCACTGCTGATAAGCGTTATCAGAATTCGCTAAAATTTTGCACTAGAGCTTCTGACGCACGGCACTCCGGTAGCCAGACAGAGGCGGTTCCTTCCATGATAGAGTGAAATGCAAATTCAAAGAAAACATCGCAATGAAAATTTCACCAAGAGAGGGAGTCAAGGTTATGGACCGCGTTTAGCAACTCTTCAATTGCTAAGTTTGCAATTGCAAAATTGAAATTTTACATTCTTTTTGACAAGTTTTTGTCGATTTTTTTTTTAAGAGCCATTTCTACTAGGGTTTTTGAGCTTCTTTCATCAAGATTATACCACTACAAAGATACAATTTGACACAGAGGGAACATATCGATTTCCCGCACTAAACTCAAAATGCTCAATTAATAGCGAATAGCATAACAGACGCCTCTTGTCCGGCATATTTACTTTCCCGCGTTCCTAGTTGCACTTAATGAGGAGATGCACTTCTAATATTTGTTTTGATTTTAAGAACCGCGTCACAAAACGGTTGCCATGTGAAGTTTCGTGGAAAATTATGACACTGGATTGACCAATGTGCGGCAAATTACGTCTTTGCCAGGCTGTAAGTGGACGCACTTCCGTCAAACGGAAGTATGTGCATTAGGACGCGAGCCTTATTATGCATATATTCTTATGAGTCCCAGGGCTAAGGTCCTGTTGCACATATTTCCGTTTCGCAGAATAAGTCCAATTTTTGAAGCGAGCAGCTCGAACTATGCAACTTTCTAACGTAGAATGTGAGGGAAAGAGTAAATTCCAGAATTTATAAATGCGGTCATTGTCATTTTCCTTAAAAATAACTTTAGTTTTGGCCCTTGCTGATGTTTGCGATTAAACTATTTTAACAAAGGTATGCGTATTTCGGTGATGGATTTTCTTGAAAAAATTGTGAAAATTCACAAATAATTTCAATAAGTCGATGGCCTTATTCTGGCGAAAAAAAAACTAACATCAGCGGGGATTTGCAATTTTAAAATTGGTCACACTCATTTTCGACCTGAAAGCTTCACATCCAAACTCACTTTGTTATTTTCAAGAAAAATTAGGAACAGCAATGTTATTATTGCACCCTCACTCAAATAAATACTATAGAATTTATGAATGTAAATTGTTTGGACTATTTGTTGTATTCTCTTCATTCACTAGTATGTGCATGTGTTTCTTTGTAAACTATGTTAAAAAGGTGCGAAAATTGTGATGTTAAAAGAAATTATTAAGACTTCGAGTAAAGTAATATTTAGACTGAGCCTACAATTAATCGTTAAATATTGACAGATGCAGTGGAGAGGCGTGAATGAGTTATTATCGATATTTTCCCATTTGGATCTATGGTAAAGAATCGATTACTAAGATGTTCGTTACTAACATCCTGTTTATCGATACTTTTGCATAGGTAGTAACGGGGCAGATCAATCGATACATCGCAAAGCACTCCACGCCACTGGACAGACGTATCATGCAGGAAAGTAACTTCAGAAAAAGCCAAATTTTTTGTTTTTGTCATGAGAATCAGTATTGGTTATCAATAAATTATTGAATTTTCGATTTGTAAGATTGAATATTTTTCGGAAAGTGATCTGATGACTCTGTTGAAGACAGCGCTGCCATGCTAAGCAAGAACTGCTAAATTCATCAAGATTTTCCCTCGTGTTTTGGAACCTGACACTTTGTAAAATAAAAAATGTTTTACCCATGCACCTCAAATTTTCAGGTTAGGTTCTTGATAGAATTTGCAAAAGATTTCTGCACTGGGAAAAATACACATTGGATTTAGAGTCCAGACTCTTGAAAACATTGACAAGAAAAAATCGACGGTGTAAGTCGGCAATCACATAACTCGTTAGCGGTGTCTAAAAATTTCCGCCTCTATGTTATTTTTTTCAAGGAGAACAAATTGACATCATTCCTTGAAATTTTTGCCGAATTTTCTTCGCACAGAGAAGAACATTTACGGCAGTTTTAAAGAATTGTCGTTGAGTGGTTTTCCATTTAAAAAATAAAATAGGACAGGAAGTCTGCGACGTCGCAAACCGAGTTATGTGATTGCCGACTTACACCGTCGAAATACTTTTGATTCAATCAGATTTAAGCTTAAGTCCGCTCAAATTAAGAGACTTAAGCAAAAATCTAATTGAATCAAGAGTATTTTTTCTTGTCGATGTTTTTAAGAGTCTGGACTCTAGATCCAATTTGTTTTTGTCCCCCAAAGTTTAAAAACATTGTCCCAAGGAACACAAATATTCTGCTATATGATACACTGTTTCAAAAAAATCTAAAATGGCGTTTATTGCGTTTTTGCGATGCACGGCAGAGCGAACATTCTCTCTATACCCTTGATGGACTTCGTGGACATCGTATCATCATGCAAATTCTTTTGAAGCTCCTGCAAAAGCAGTTAATTCCAAAATTTTGATTTCCATCTACTAGCAGCTCCGTGACAAAAACTAGAAAACTTATCAATAAACCCGCAGTTAGGGCAATGAAGGCTGATTGTAAATCGTTCATAGTGTAAGCCCGAGGTGGCTCATCCCTCTTTCCAATCGGGGCGGCACGGATTCTCTCATAGATTTGTATTGCCTCCAGAATCTTCGCATTGTGTCCTGTTTCGAAAAATTGATGTATGATTGGATTAAGTTTGTCAAAAACGAAGGAAGGTTTTAGAAATACCATGAGTGCCGGATAAGAAACCAGACACTCCTCGATCAAGTGGTAATTTTTAATAAGCTGAAACGCTGGATGAAAAAACACGGTACTTCGTCTTGCCCGAAGAATATTCGGAACACTCACAAGGAAAGCATCTAATTCACTGATTGTCTCCACGTTTTTTACTACTTGTCGAAGTACACCCTCTGGTGGCCTGCTTCCGTTTGCCTGATTATCGCCGACAAAATCTGTATAGGAACGACCGGTCATGAAGATTTCTGTCAGGTAGAAGTCGAGATTGCCAGTAAGTTTCCTCAGTAAATTTTCGGATTGGTTCTGTTGGTTTAAAAATGCTTGTGCCGTATTGATATCGTATGTTTGGATGAACGAATCTGCCTCCTCGAAATCCTTTAACGTGTCGATTTCAGGATACTTTACCCTTTTGCTGAGCAGTGTTGTCATGCCGCTCAGAAAAACGGTGGAGATGATCATCGCTGAGAAACTGAAGATGACGAAAAGAATCTTCCCTGAAAATAGACAGCCCAATTGCAGAGACGGGACGCAACCGCAAATAAAATATTCATAAACAATTAATATAGCGGATGCGCCCTTGTATTGGCTGATTTCCTCCTCTGTGTAGAGACTTTGAAACTTACTTTGAGTGCGTTGGAAAGCGTATTGAACTGCAAAAAACACAAGAATTGTGATAAGGATGAAAATCCAAACGGTAAGCGAATAGCTCTTAAAAATGACTAAACCTTGCGGGATAAACTCACTATGAGGAGTGATGATGCACATTGCGGACGAATCAGTGATGGATGAAAAGTCCATGATTGAAAAGTCCGTCTCTTCTAAGAAAAATCCGAACTCAAGTGCCTGCAAACCGACGTCGAATTTCAAGCCGATCCCATTCTCAGCAAGCCTGGGTATGCCAATACGTAAATTTTGATTTGTAATGGTGCAGTTGATAGAATTTTGGAGATAATCAAGGTAATAATCCAAAAGATATAACCCGTTACTCGGTCGTGTAAATGTTGCCATTTTCACGTTTTCTACGCTGGGGTTCACCAGCAAGCCAATAGGTTTTCCATGCATATTTTTCCACGAGAAGTCAAAAAATCTCTCCTCAGCCATGTCTCTGTCCGAAATAATCGTCTCTGCAAATGGATCGTATTTCTCGCAACCTCTTGAGTGGCATATGACGATTTTGAGGCCTTTAAAGAAACGCCAAAAAAATTTGAAGCAAAAAATCAAACCTTCCATTATATGGTTTGCTTTGGTATTTTCAACAGGCCCGATGGCGAAGCCGTATAAATTGGAAGGACCGCTTCCAAGCGTGGAATTCGTCACGAGATCAGTGAAATCTAAGTCGAGATTTTTCGGGATGAAAATGAAGTAGTTTGTAGGGTTCCAAATTTTATGCAAGTGAAGATTTCGAGTCATTTGATAAACCGAGTCTGTTAGAATCGAACCATCTTCAAGCTCCTGTGACGTCATTCTGACCACTTCGTCGCATATCCTCCTTTCGTCCACTCGCAGGAAACGACCATCAACCATGATGCAATAACGAGGTACAGTTTGCAAGAGCTGAAA